TAAGGAGAAATGAGGGGATATATATATGTATATATTCCCCTAGAGCCTAAATAATATGTATATTTATTTATTAATTTGTCGCTTGTGGGATTATGTGTTTTGTCGTGTTGACATCACAATGAATATGATTATGAAATTGAAAAATACAATAATTAAATCCCACTAAATCCTGATGACGTGATTGACGAATTGGCTAAACAGCCAAAACAATTAGAACTTCTCTTATAAAAAATACAAAAAAAGATGTACATTATATTATATTAAAAACAAAATTAATTTAATATTTTAATAATTATTGTTTAATTTAAAAGTAAAATTTAATTTTAATATTTTCAATATTTACATTTTGAAGAATTATAATATACTTATAGTATAAGTACAACATTTTGTAAAATTTTAAAGCAACATTTATTAATACATTTTGTGTCCTATATATTAGTTTAAGGATTTTTTTATGAAATAGTATTCCCAGGTTAGGTACTCACCACTGTACTTGAAAATCTAAGTATTGTGTGTGTAAAAAAATGTATATCCCCCACTAAGACAAATTCCTAATCAGGCCACTGTATCTATATACTATATATACTATATACAATAGTAATGATTTTTCTAATCGAAATAATATTAATCAGCACATAAATAATCGAAAGACAATTTTGTTTATAAAACTTATTAAAACGGAATACAATAAAATTGGAGTACCTACACTGATTGTTCATAATGTATTATGTATTACCTATTATGTGGTATACATAATAAGATTAAGAATTATGATATACCTATGTAATAAATATTTTAAATATATCAAATACGTATTGCCAACAGTATGATCTTGTGCAACGCCATCGTATGTTTAACACACTCTAGACAGACATAAACAATACCTTTTGTGTTTGTATAGAATTAAACAAAAAATAATTAGGTACAAACATTTGATCGTTTATACACGAACCACGCTTTATATTATTGTTACTAAAAATGCATGTTATAAGCAATTCTGTTACGTCAGATTCATTACTCAGTATACATTTATAACATTATAGCAATTATTATTATTTTTCGATATTGATTTTTGACTTTTTTACAATCGAATTAATTTTAAAATATGAAACGTTAATATATAAAAGCGTTTAATTCGGTTAAAAAAAATATTTATAATTAATTCAACGATTAAATTGGGGACTGTCGCCCTTACACCTCACATGGTCGGTTATACGTCATATAAAACTACTGAAACCGGACGTCTATCAAATTAATTGTATTGTCGTGCAACTTTTTTTTTTTTTTTTTTTATAACAATATCTTTGACACGCATGCCCGCGTGCAAACTGCTAATGATTAAAATCACTAAAAACGCAGCCAAAGCTCAAAAGATAATATTGATATGTTTTTATGTGTAACTTAATATTTTGAATGCATTATGTTATGACTTAGTTTATTAATAATGTATAACCGTTGTTTGAACTGTGTTTAATCTTACATAATAATGCAATAATGTACTATTGCTGTGCTACATCTTTATTTGCCTGTCGAAATAAATAAATAAGAGAGACATTTAGAATTATTGTCCAAACATTTGATCTCTGCTAATCAAGGTATTTATATGTGGCTAATTATTGTGCTATGATCTCGACCAGATTTTGACGTGTATACTAAATACGTCTCATTGATTTGGTGGTAGATTTTATTACTCGCATTTTTTGGACCGCATTCCCATTACATAACATCATATGTGTAACTTAACGGTGCGTAGGGATTGCCCAGAAGCAATTTGACCATTACTATATGGGTGATCTTAAGTGCCATAGAAATCCTGACCAATGTTTAAGGACTCGAATACCATCTGCATAATCAGGTTTTAAAATAATTTATATTCGTTATCAATGAAATTCATGATATTTATGAGTTAATTTCATGTATGACGTGAACATTATTTTCTTTAAACAATAAATAGAATGATTTCAATACATTTTAAACGTATTATTAGTTGTAATAATGCATTATAACTATATATCTGATTAAAAATAAATACATACAAATCCCTTGTCGGAAAAAAAAACTCAGACGCGCTCTTGAATTTAGCCAATATGTTTTTTTTTAACATTAGCAACCATTAGGTTATATTGACGTATTCGTTCATAGAAACATAACCCGATTTAATGGCCGAACATCCGTCATTTTTATTTAGTGAAAACAATAAAATATTGTTGCTTCTGTGTACATATAGTTCGTGTAAATTGATAGTTTATTAGTTTATTGCATTTCACTGCATCGAACCATTTACTAGAAAAAGTAATAAAATAATATAATGTACATGATAAATGTATTTCATTATGAAACACTTACCCATAATAATTGTATCATATTAATAACAATTATCTACCTGAACGCTGTCGTTCCGAAGTATGTTTACTGATTTTTCAATCTATACGTAATCATATAGACAGTATAGTGCAACTGTAACAAAAACAAGTCAATTGTTAGAGATTTAATCGTATATACATTTTTTTTTTCACCGACGAATTCGGTGCATAGATACTTATAGAGAAAAGGAATTCAATTGAAAGTAATTTTTTGAATTGTTGATCTTATCATTACATATATATAGTATTATACGTATTGTGCGTTAATTATAATCTTCAATGCCACTATGGAAATTATTATTACTTAAAAATTATTAGAAATTATTATTACTCAAGATGTACATATCTTGCAATAAGCTATAGTATTAAGCACTTATAAAATAAAAATAAAAATATTCACTTAAAATATTCTCCTTTTATGTATTTTAATAGTGATAAATATTTTTTACTTGTACTATTAATAAATATTTTATTTATATTAAACGTATAAGCACAATTTCAACTTTTTATGGTTGATAAAAAAAAAAGTTATACGAACAAAAATAGAACAGCTTGGACGTAACTATGTAACTCATTCTAATAATCTTGTAACTCGGTGACCTGCAGTTATTGACCGGTTTAACTGCGTTGTGGCACAACCGTACATATTTATATATGGATGTATCGTAACGAAAGTAAAATCGTTTGAAGTTTCAACACTGAAAGTTCTACATGAAAATTAATATTTTATAATTCATCGTTGCCCAGACCTTTCTAGTCGACCTCATATCGAATACGAATTTCTTTTTTAAACAAATGATCGCAGAAAAGAAAACACGAATTCTTTGCGAATACCGTTCTATAGTTGGGTTTCGGCTAATACACACACCGCCCCCCTCGTTTAACATAATTAGCCAACCGGCAACGATGTAAATAGTTGTTTGTATACCTACAACGACGTCGCGAACGCAATCAACGTGATTACGACATAATGTTATTATTATAAGTTTTTTTTTCTTTTCAATTAATGCAAGACTTCCCACCCTCCCACGAAAACCTCTTTGATTAATGATCAACACGGTCGGTCATTTTACTACTACGCGGGTGATCGATGAAATTTTTAGTAATCGTATAAACTACGAAGAGTACGGCAACGCGTTTAATAATGCCGAATAATAATCACGAAACGAGTGCAACACCAACCATTAAAAGAAAATGTATAACTACTACATCATAATAACGTCGTAACGATTATTATGAAATTCGATGTTTAATTAGTTTTATTAATTCGCTGTGGTCGCGGACACAATGCAAATATTTAGCTGGCGCACACCGGGCAACGGAGATCGTCACGTAAATCCACTGCGGTTGTACAGCCGTTGGATAACTTTTTAGGGCGTCGGACGTGTCCCGAGCGACCGAAATTGTTCGACTCGATCAAAACATGATGTGCATAACGTGTGCAAAAATATTCAGTGCGTAAAATATTCGTAGTCGTCGATGGGTGTTCGTGTAGACCAATCGTTCTTGTCCTTTTCTCGTTCCCGTCACCTTTAGCCACTAGAATAAAACACCGCGTCACCCTAATATCAAAATAATAAATAATCTTAAGTGTCTGTTTTATAATAATTCTTGAAATAACAAAAAAAAAATACAGTGCATAGAAAAATAATAAGTACACCTACAATTTATTCGAGTTACAGGGTTCAATAAACATTGACAGTTAAAAGTTTAAACTTTTAAAAAAAAAAAGAAAAATTAATAATTATTTGTATGAAGACTGATGAGAAATTAGGCCCGGGTGGTTTTTACAGATTTGAGGAAGTCGAGGGCTGATGGTGGAAAAACCGAGTCTCATATTGTCTTCTAGAGTTGTAGAGCTATAACACTACAATTCTAACGACTGAAAAATAACTGACTAACGACCCTGGTTAAATCAATAAGATGATCGATAACGCAGCGATTTCGCAAATCAAAATACTGCACGTATTTATCGGATCTAAATAATATAAAGCAGCAGTTCTCGAACTGTGGTAAGCGTACCACTAATGATACGCGAAATACTACGTGGTGGTACTGGTGGTATGCGAAAGGCCGGGCGGTGGCAGAACGGAAATTAAAAATTCAATATTTAACTCATGTATTAATTTAAAAACACTAATAAATTTGTATTAATAAATAAATAAATAATAATTTTTATTTTAGTATATTATTGCCTTTTTATTTAAAATAAATGTATTTAACTATGTGAAGTTTGTATGGTTCTATTTTTAATCATTAACGGTACGTGATTAATTGATAATATACTCAAGTGGTACGCGAAAAAAAAAGTTTGAGAACCGCTGATATAACGACACAAACTTAAAGGTATGCTATTTACATGACAGTCGTGGTAATGATATGATTTTATTAAAATTAATTTTTTCTTTTTCCCTCGGAGATTTTGTGTCACCCCTACACTGCGTCCATGTCACCCCGGTTGAAAACCACTGGTGTAGACCGATTCGAAAACAACAAAAGCTAAATGGTAAACGGAAAAAAAAAATAAAAAAAATATCGTTGTTGATCTATTACGATCGTGCCATCTGTCGGTGAGTTTTGCGCACGCAGTCGCCTTAATAACAATAATGGTGGTGGTGGTGGTGATAAATACGGCACGGTTTAGTCATCCAATGGAACGGAATGACTCACTGCGGACGCTATCAACACGGAATTCAACGATAAAAAATAAGAAAACAACACATCTCATACCAGTAAACGTTGCTCGGTTGTTCGTCGCGGTACAGTCCAACACTGATTACCAGTCGGCGTTGTCAGAAGACGAATCCACATCTACGCGCTTCCCTTTTGCGTTCCATTTCCAAAAGTCGCACAGACATTGACGACATCATGACTGCTGTGGCCAACAGACCTCCAAAGGTAATTTGTTGTTCCTATTGACATGTTAGATTTTTCTTTCTCGTCTTTCTGCACGTGCAACGGTGCAACACACCCTTACTGGTAAACGCAGTACCGTTCACATTATGCCTTGTGTTTCAGTTGGACGACAACAACAAGTCGCCGACCATACGCACCCTGAACTTGAACGGACATGTCGGCTTTGACAGTATGCCTGATCAGTTGACTCACAAATCTGCCCAAAATGGATTTGTGTTCAACATACTTTGCATTGGTGAGTACAGACGATAGTTGTTTTGTTGTCAGACTGTGACCCCTATGATGTAAATCATATTTTTGTTCCAGGTGAAACTGGTTTGGGCAAATCAACTCTTATGGACTCGCTGTTCAATACTAATTTCGAGTCTACACCATCGACACACAATTTACCTAACGTTAAACTCAAAGCTCATACATATGAATTGCAAGAAAGCAATGTTCAACTCAAGGTAATAAATTATATTTAAAATTTTCTATTGAAATGAAAACACTCATACACATACACTGACCAGTTATTTTATATTTACCTTGTAAGGAATATCGATGTATATTATAAACTCATTATCACATTACAATAGTTTCTCTTTTATGAGTTGTCATCTGCAGTCTTCCCAATCTCCAATATTAAACAATTTTATTTTAAGTATGTTACATATAGAAAAAGCTCAAAAGATACTGGATGAAATTAGACTTCTTGCTATTCAAATTCTTGTTATCTCATCAACTGCCTGCTGACAATGTTCCTTGATACAACTTGCCGAATTCTTTAATAAGTTGCTATGATTCATTAAAATTCTGAAATAGATTATAATTGAATATTTTATAATTTGTCAAAGAACTACCAATTATTGTGAATTATAATTTGAAATGTTACAATTGCTATTACTATTAACATTATTACTAATTGCTATTACTATTAACACTATTACTAATTGCTTTTAAATTATATTTTTTATTATTTAGTTGACCCTTGTTGAAACAGTTGGCTATGGTGATCAAATAAACAAAGAAGATAGTTTCAAATCCATTGTAGACTATATTGATACACAATTTGAATATTACTTACAAGAAGAATTGAAAGTCAAACGTTTACTGTCTACATATCATGATACTAGAGTTCATGCTTGTTTATATTTCATTTGTCCTACAGGTCATGGGTAAATATGGTTTTCTGAATGAAATCCAACTTATTACTGAAAGATCTTTTAAAATTTTTTCTTTAAACACATTAAACATTAACTTATGCCTTTATTTTATATTTTGCTGAAATATAAATGGTCATTTAATATAGTATCATGTACATATTTTAAAATTTATCTATTATATTTATGTGATTCTGATTCATAGCAATTCAGGTCTAAATTATTTTTGATTTGCATGGTGTACACTCATCAAATAAGTATTTAATAACTTGTATTTCAAAAGATATCCAAATATTAATAAGTTTTTAATGTTGTTGCTCTACAAAGTTATTGTAAAAACTGGATGAAAGCTTAGTTATTTAATACTTAGTTTAAATTTTTAATTTATGTAGCTTATAATTATTACAATTTTCATACTTATATTTTTGTAATTATATTAAGATTGCTTCTTATGTATTTTATATGCTATTAATGTTGTTTGCTAAATTAAAAAAATTAAAACTTTTTGAATAAAACGTTATAATCAAATTACACATTTTTAGAATTAAAAAACATAAATTTACTATGAATATAAGTGGTAAATTAATAAACCGTAAATGTCTGTTTAGTATAGTCATATGTAATTATGTCATATGTAATTACATTAATCATTACATTTAATTTAATCTGTGCTATAATTGATTTTAATTGTATTCTTATAATTTTTAGATTAAAATCTATTGACTTAGTCTGTATGAAAAAACTTGATACTAAAGTAAATGTTATTCCAATTATTGCTAAAGCTGATACTATATCCAAGTCTGAATTACAAAAGTTTAAAGTAAATGATTCATTGTAATTATATTATAAGAATATTTTGAAAAATTTAATTATTTCTTTTAATATTTTTAGACCAAAATAATAACCGAGTTGCGATCAAATGGTGTTGAAATCTATCAGTTTCCTACTGATGACGAAACAGTAGCTGACGTCAATTCTACCATGAATTCTCATATACCATTTGCTGTAGTTGGTAGTACAGATTTTGCTAAAGTTGCAAACAAAATGGTACGTGCTCGTCAATATCCATGGGGAACAGTTCAAGGTTCGTCCTATAGTTTAATTATAATATATACTTTTGATTTATAAAATAAATTAATTTGAAAATATAATGGTTGTTAGTTGAAAACGAATCGCACTGTGATTTTGTTAAACTGAGAGAAATGCTGATTAGAACAAATATGGAAGATTTGAGAGAAAAAACTCATGAAAAACATTATGAGTTATATCGAAAAATGCGCTTAGAACAAGTAAAAATTGAATCTTATCTAATTATTCAATGCTCTAGCTTTAAGAGTAATAACATGATTTATTTTATAGATGGGCTTTAGTGATGTGGATAATGAAAATAAACCATTAAGCTTCCAGGAATCTTTTGAAGCAAAGCGTAGTCATCATTTGCAAGAACTTCAGAACCGTGAAGATGAAATGAGACAAATGTTTGTTGTCAGGGTAAAAGAAAAAGAAGCAGAACTAAAAGAAGCTGAAAAAGAGGTAGTTTTTACATCTTATATTTTTTATATCTAATGGAATGCTTATTAAATGTTTATGTTAATATTAATAAATATTCAAAAATATTTCCTTACATGAATTATAAGTGTTAAAAGTTAATTATGTTTATGTTCAAAAACATAATGTATCTTGAATTGTTGAAATATATAAATTGTTAGTCAATTGATATCTATGTTTAAAAATGTTAATTTTTTTAGTACTTGTAATTTTTACATATTCCTGATAATGAATGCTATGCATTTTATTTACAATGCTATGCATTGAATTAACAGCATTGATAACTATTTAAAAAAAACTTATTAAGTATAATTATATTTGTTTTGTTTTAAAATTATTTAATCTGTCCTATTATTACTACATAAATTATTAATTATTATTCACTATTAATGAATTATTACAGAATAATAAACATAATCAATAACAATATGAAGTGTTGTTTTAGACTACTTCTTAAAATGTAATGTATAAAATCCCTCTGTGTAGTTCTATAATATGTCATCGAACTTAATTATTTATTTTATTTATACTTAAATATATAATAATAAATGTAAATTAGTTTAATTTTTTATGTAGATTAATAAAAAAATATATATATACTTCAAAAGTTTAGTACACAGTTCAAAATTTGATATATGAATTCTGTAAAATATTATTTCTAGTTTTTATGAATTAATTCGTTTTATAGCTATGATAAATACAAAATACTGTGTTGTTTTCTATTAAAAACAGTAAAATATCAATGTAGAGAAATTGTATAGTTTCTTCCAGTGCTAAATTAATAATTGGTAAAGTTAATATTTGTTTTAATTCTGTATTATAAAAATGTGTAGGATTATTTTCAACGCTCTACCTCATTTCTAGGTAACATAATATATAAGGTTATAAATATATTTATAGTATATTTGTTTGGAAAATTATATTTTATAAGATTACTTTCAGGCACGGTGTACCTCTACACCTCTTTTGCAATCTAATCTTATAATATTCGAGATGTCTGATATTCCAAAAAATGACAAAAAAAATGTCAAATCATTTTTTTAATATTACATTATGAAATTTATTAAAATAATTTTATCATACAACTCCACTACATCTATCAACTTTGTATTACAGAAGGATATGTGTTTAATAGAAAATAACATAATTGTTCTGATTTCATGCTCTAAATAGTTCTAATTATTTAATTTTAAAAAACCTTTTCTGTTTGCATATAACATTTTTATTAAATATGTACGTCTATTGTATATATTATTTATCTTTAATCAATAAAATTGTTTCTTTGTTTTAAAATCAAATATCTATAAGATTTATATAAGTTCTTAATTATTCTCCTAATTATAGTTTATAGAAAACATCCCATTTGAATTATAAAATATTTGTGTATATGATATTACTATTATCATTTTATGTATTGTTTTACTAAAAGAAATGTTACTATGTTATTGTTTTTTTTTTGTTTTGGCATTATACTATTAGATTTTTTGATATAATAACACATGTGTAAAAAGTATTGTTTATGAGATTATATAATTTATTTACAAAAATAAAAGTATAAAAATAATTAAAGATAATATGATGTATAAATAATACAAATATAATAAATATATTTACTTTTATTTATAACTACTTTTACTAGATTTTTTACTACATGTTATAAATTAAAATTGATAATAAGGTTCATGTCGGATTTTAATTTTGCAAAAACTAATACATTAAATTGTATACATTTGCATTTCAAACATTTTATAAATTAAATTAATAATTTAATTGTTTACGTTCTAGTTACATGCCAAATTTGATAAATTAAAACGAGACCAAGATGATCAAAAAAAGAGATTGGAAGAGCAAAGAAGAAAATATGAAGAAGATCTTATGGAATTCAGCAAAAGAAAGACACAGTACTCAAACATGGGACATCATACGCTCACTTTAGGCAAAAACAAAAAAAAATAAATTTTTCCAATTATCAATTTGATAAACCAATGTTTTTATACATTAAGAAGTGATCTTTTACTATCATAAATATTATAATTTAATTTACATAACTAATAAAATTATTTAATATCCATTCCGTTAATATTAATGGATTAATGACTTATTAATAGTTTAATATAAATTAAACAGTTTGTAACTATTATTATGTATGAAAAATAATTATTATTAATAAACCAAAATAAGAAGTACAATTAAACTATCTCGTATTCTGATGATTCAAAATTTAGTCACATAAAAGTTGTTAAAGTTAGGTAATTTATAAGTAATATTTTTTGCATTGTATATATAGTATTGTTTTACATATTGAATATTTACCACACTGTAATAGAACTTAAATCGCCATATAATAAAATTAAAAAATTCAACAAACAAGTCTTAAGTAATAATCTTTTAGGAAAAAAAAAAGAACATCTGGTGTTTGTTGAGAATATAATTAGCCTTGCAATATAACTTTTTTTTCTTCAAAATATTTTATTTTAAAAGTAAACGATCAAATCAAAGTATATACTGACTAAATATATTGGAAACTACCAACATTAATGTTGGCCATGTATGTGCAAAATTTGTATTTGTATGTGCCAAATTTTAAATATAATAATAAATAGGATATGTAAATTTTTGTCTTCCTAAAAAGATATTTTTACTTCACAATTTTATAAACTAGTTGTTTTATATACAATAAGGTTTGTCAAATTTTTCGATGTATTAATTATTACCTTAACTGTCTTTTTTTTTTTTTTCAAGGTTGTGTCTAATCACTTTGTGAGAATTTAACAGTAAATTAAATATAATTATAAGATAATTCCAGAACAATCCTCATTGGATTGTAAAAATGTATTAATGAATAATTATTGTGTGTTGATCAATTTCACTTTACTATTTTACTTTATATTATTCATATTAATTAAATAAACTTTAAGTTTATTATCAATAAATATGCTTTGATATTGTATATTATTCTAAATTTTGTATTTATTCACTAGATGGTAAACATTTCTTATCCATTGACATAAATTTAGAGAAAAAATAGTTTGTGTTTTCTAAGTAAACTATTTTATTATACATTAGTAACGTATATTTTTCCTATTTCATTAATATAGAAATTTTACTACATCATATAATTTTAATCAGTCTTCTTTGAAAAAAATTATACCTTAACAATATTTAAAAAATTTAGTGACCAATTTTTTTTATAATTCATTTAATTTGTAAACCAACATGATAACTAATATGTTCTATACCGATTTCAGTAAATTATTATTTTTTTTTTACATTGCACTGAATAAATGTTGAAATCCAGCTCATAATATTGATATTCAACATTTTAGATTTAATCTGACATTTTAGTGATGTCAAATTAGGTGTAACCACTTTAGGTACTAATTCATGGCTATTATTGATTTTATAAATATTTCATATGAACCAAAAATAATTGTATTTAAGAAATAAATAAATAAATTATAAAAATACATTTTATAGTCTTTGCCTTTTTTTCCCAATTTAGTATAGAATGAGTCACCCTCTCAATCACATACCAACTAGCTACATGTCGTTCTCAGTTCCATTTGACCATCCTTGCTCTACCTTTCCCACTTTTACGTTCTTTCATTTTCAATTTTTTTTAATTCATTTTCAATTTTCATTTTAGACCTCTCATTGTTCGTTGCTCATTTATGATCTTACAGGTGAATATAAATTTGTGTATAAAAGTTATTTTTTATTACTATGTGTTATGTTTTCGTTTATTTTTGCCTTATATATAGTATATATAGGCCATAGCTGTACAGGTGTAAGTACTATATGTGTGAGAGAGGTCCAAGTTTTTTCTAAACACATAATTTCAATGTGAAATTCAAAAGATATGTTACAATTATGACTATGACAAATGACAATAATTGTTAGGTAGTATATTTATTTATAAAAAGCTTTTTAGCTATTTAGCCGAAGACCTTTATTTTCAAAATTTCGGAAGGCCGTATGTGTTTATTATGTTCTTTATCATTGACCCGACGTATATAGGTTTTCAACAAAAACAATGATTACATACCACGGTACTATCTAGGTACCTAGGTACCTAGTAAATAATTGAATATAATAACAGAACAATTATTGTAAAATACACGTCGAGATTCAGTGTTGGCCCGTGTGAGCAGGGCCGCAGCTAAGGGGGGGCTAGGGGGGTCTTTTGCCCCGGGCGGCAAATTTTTAGGGGCGGCAAAATATAAAAACATTTTTTTTTTCTAACACTTTGAAATGCTACGATAATTATACGCGCGTACCGCCGACTTATTTATACCACAATAACGACGGTCGACGTCGGGTATCCGCAAGCCGCAATTTTTGATATGGCAAAATAACAATACAATTAATATATGTGTCACTGTAATTCATTTATTCTGTAGTATAGGTAATAATATAATGTTATCGGAAGTTTTGCAGCTATCGTCGTATTCTGGGAAAAATTAGTACATTAATGTTATCTTTGATCGTGCGGTTGTTTGTGAACATAGATCTATGTTCATGAGTTTTGATTATCATTTTATATTTTTAATGTACTAGCGCGATCACACTATAATCATTTATTTTTATGATTCGTGATTCGACGACTGACGTGTAACGTGAAAGTGTACAAAGTGTCTACATATTCAACATCTTAGAGTTGTAAATACGGTAAGAAAATTTTTAATAATTAAAATTTATTTACGGTAAAAAAATTCGTAAGTGTGTTGTAAAACGTGGCTTGAGCCATGCGTTAAACCAACCGTTTATATAGTTACATATCGTGGGCTTGGAATCAAAGAGTTCTATGTGACAATATCTAAATTGTTCAGTAGAGCGTTTTTAAGGTTCAATAATTGAAATATCGTATTTTCGATTTTGAAATATTTGGAATCAAAAAATGCAGATTTGATGCATTGAAAGATGTTAATAGTAAATTTGGTTTTTTGAGTGGTTCTCAAATAAACGAAATAGATTCTACAACTTTACAAGTTAGAGCTAAAACATTAGCTGACAGTTACCCGGATGATCTAAATAAAGAAGAGCTTGTTAGTGAAATAGAAAGTTTTAAATTCCATGCCTTTGAAATTGACAAAAGTCTGAGAAATGCGACAGCGCAGTCTACTTTTAAAGTTATTTATGAGCAACATCTAGAAGAGATCTACCCAAATATTACGATAGCCCTACAAATATTTCTAACAATTTCAGTCTCTGTTGCTTCGGCGGAAAGAAGCTTCAGTAAACTGAAACTTATAAAAAATTATTTAAGGAACACTATGAAACAACAAAGATTAAACAATTTAAGTATAATATCAATTGAACATCAAAGAGCATCATCAATCTCATTTGAAGAAATAATTAAAACATTTGCAGCCAAAAAAATCAAGAAAAATCAAATTTTTATAAATATTTAATATACACTTTTAGTTTTTAAGAATAGCTTTGTTATGTATATTTTGCCTGAAATACAAATAAAAGTTTTAGCATGCATTTTTATGTCTTAATTTTTCAGAAAACCTAACTTATCATTCAACAACAGTATAATAGCATATTTGTCACTTAACATCCAAATAAATATTAAATATTTTAGAATTTTCTCAAACTTATATTGTAATAACAACACTGAAATTTATTTGTTAATTATTGGGGCTGAGTGATGGAAAGAGGGGCGGCAAAATTAGAGCTTGCCCTTCCTAGAATAATGTGTGGCTGCGGCCCTGCGTGTGAGCGAACGTAATATCTAAATAATCTTCGACAACACTAAATTTAATAATTTCTCTTAACATTAAAGTTGTATTTTTTAATCGACAACATAGTAATGTATTTCTATTACATTATCAAATTTGACGACAAAATGTGATCGTTCGTCGTACATAATAACGTTTACCTATATTAAAATATCTAATTGATATTTTTAATAGGTACACACGTAGGTATATATATGTATATTATTTTATATTTTTTTTTTTTATATTATTATATATTATTACATGATGTTAATAAATCGGTCAAGGATTCTCAACTCATTAATCTAATATTTAAAGAAAATTCGTGCGTATACAAATACCAACATTTTGTGTTCGGCCTTGGTACATGTTTTTGTCGTGGAAATTGATTTTTCATTAATATATCAAAACTAACAAAAAAAAAAAAACAAAAAAATAATGATTGTCACTACAAGAGTGTGAGCGCATCGCTATTTATGTTGGGTTGTTGAAGTACGAGGAATATTTGTATAAGATATTATTGACTGCTGGTTTGGATAAATGAGAGTACTGCCGAATGACGGACACTTTGACACTTGTATGTATTTTAAATAATTCATGTAATCCGATGGTAACAAAAATGATAGGCCCAACTGAAACCAACATTAACCGTTGCAGTTCACAAGACCGATGATATTCGATTTTTCCGTATGCGATCAGCTGTTTTTCGATTGTCGCGACTGAGACGCATCGCTGCCGTGGAAAATGTTCCGTCGGCGTTCTTGCGATCTGTGGCGGTGATGAGGTGTCCGATGGGTACACGCGATTTAGATTAATCGATTTATTTTAATTTTATTTTCGATAAGGCCTTAACACATATGACGGGTATAGTTAGTGGGTATGTTTAATAATCGTATATTTGATTAAGTGTCAAAAGTTCATAAACATTTTACATCGCAGATTTTGAAACCGTAAAGTAGGTAACAAAAAAACGAGACGTACAGTAATATTTTTTTACGTTTAATTTCAAGTGCACTTTTAAGACCTGGTTCGTTTCAATTACGTTGATTGGTACTTAAAAACAAAGTCGATTTTTTAAACCGAACTTTAATATAATATGTTATACCTACACCGTTCACGTTTTATTTTAAAACTCATAATTTGTTATTAAAAATTATTAACGTTAATTGTTGCAAATAAATAACATTTACTTTTAAATTTTACTCTAAGTCAGGGCCTGGAACATTAACGATTTTAAAGGTTTTGATTTCGCTTTCGGTTTTTAAAATATAAAATTTAGGTTCCTGTTTGGGTTTCGGTATTTTAAAATACAAAATTAAAATTTCGATTCCGGTTCCGGTTAAAAAAGGTTTTAACCGGTTTCAAATATTTTTATTAACACAGATAAAATTATAAAATGAATTTTGAGGTGAAATAAAACACTTTTCTATTAAAAAAAAAAAAAAATATTAATTTTATCAAAATAGTACATAATTATAGTAATTTTTATTCTCTGTCTACCTCGCCTTCCTCCCAACTATTTGAGGTCGACCACCTTCATCCTAAACCTCCATTCATCTCGATTTTCTACATCCCCTACGCATACACTAATAGCCTATAATTATTATTGTTGTGAAATTAAATTGTAAGTACCTATAAGGATTTCGTTATCAAGTTGAATCGATGTAAATACTTAAATTATTTTATTTTGTTTTCCACCACAAACCCTTAAAGTTATTATAATATACTTCACTTTTGGTATTATCTTTTAAGAAAAATTCCAAAAATATTACCACTGTTCATATATTAATAAAAAATTATCTTGATAATCATATGTATTACGAATACTTACAATTGTTTTAGTATTATATTAGTTATAACATAATTTTAAAGAAAATGTTGCTGTATGTT